CAACCATTTCTAACCTAACAAAACTTCTCCATAGGCAGAAATAGCTACATCCATTACATTATTCGGCATTTTAAATCAAGAAGGGCTTACCACTGCAGTGTTATTTTATAGCTTATTCAACAGAATGTTAACTGACATTACAATTTTATCTATAAAGACTGTGAAGCAAGGAGCATGGGGAATGTGGCTGTTATTGTATTTGTGGAAAAACCATAATATGTGTAATGGCATGGCATGTTTTTATTGTAACTTCATTAAAATATTAAAAGGTGGTATGGAATATATAGAATGCTCAGAGAAGTTGTAGGAGTGATTTGTCTTTATTGTTTTTGAAATTAAGATTTTAAAAAATGAGTGTTGAATATAGTGACATGCATCTTTAAAATCTCTCCTGAGGCTAAAGCGGGCCAATTTCTGTGAGTTCTAGTGCAGTCAGGGTTACATTATAAGTTCCAGGCCAGCTAAGGCCACATACTGAGACTGTGTCGGGACAGGAGAGGGCATTAAAAAGATTATTTTTAATTATCAAAGATGGCAAGTTTAGAAGAGGAAGAGATGGGTCAGTGGGCAAAATGTTTGCCATGCAAGTATAAAGTCACTGTTTCTTTTCTGCTACAGTAATAAAATGCCCCGATAAAGCAGTTTTTGGGAGGAAAGGTTTATTTGGTTCACGATCACTCCAGATTATAAGCCATCATGGCAGCTAAGTCATTAGAGGCAGGCACTTGAAGCAGCTAGTCAGAATTTATGAGGCTAGCAGGGTTCCTCTCTAAATGATAAACATATTAAATATTAACCTTTATATCAATAATTGTGTGTAAAATATGAGAGGAAATAACATTACAATCAAAAAATAAATAATATGAAACAGCCTGATAATATTACCCACATAGGAGGAATTCTTTCTCAAAAGCTTAAAAACAAGCTCTGAGATAAACCATGTCTTTCTCATTCATGTTAGTTTCTTTTCTTGCCATTGTGACAAGATATTCAGCAAAAAAAAACCTTAGGGAAGAAGGGCTTGCTTGGGCTCAAGGATTCGACCATCATGGCCGGGAATGCATGGTGATGGGCGTGGTCCAGTCCTTATTCATGGGTGAAAATGATATCAGGTCACACAATAGTGGCGGCCACCCAAGAAGCAGAGAGTAGGACTGGAAGCAGAGCCTGACCTTATTTCTTAAAGGAGGGTCCTCAGGAATCTCTGCCACTCAGGCCTCTGACCCAAAGGTTCCACAGCCTCCCAAACAGCACCACCATCTGGTGACCATGTTCAAATCGTGAGCTGTGACATTTAAATCATAAAGGATAGGAAGTCTTACATGATCGAGATATCATCATATGTGTATTTTTAAATTAATATTATGATTGAAACTACAAAATTTCCTAATTCTAATTGATAAGTGGTTTTAAAATTTTCAACAAACAAATTAAGATTCCTTTTTTTTTTTTTCTTATTTTGGGTTTTCGAGACAGGGTTTCTCTGTAACTTTGGAGCCTGTCCTGGAACTGTCTCGGTAGGCTAGGTTGGTCTTGAACTCATGGAAATCTGCCTGCCTCTGCCTCCCAAGTGCTGGGATCAAAGGCTTGCACCAACACAGCCCAGCCAGATAGTTAAGTTTAAACTACTTAAAAGTCCAAAGGCAAAAAACACCTCTGTTTCCACCTTACAAGAATAGTTCATGCAAAACAAACAAACAAAAACAAAACAAAACAAACAAAAATTAACTATCCCTGGGCATTGGTGGCACACACCTTTACCCAGCACTTGGGAGGCAGAGACAGGCAGATATCTGTAAGTTCAAGGCCAGCCTGGTCTACAGAACAAGTTCCAGGACAGCCTTCAAAACAATACAGAGACAACTCTGTCTCGAAAAACAAAAATAAACAAAAAAACTATCTTGTGACTTTATGGTTTTATCAAATAAAATTGCTCTATGTAAAATATTTTTAAAAGATTATAACTATTAAAGATTAAGTTAAAGGAAAGGGTGCAGGACCTATACAGCAATGCTTTTCCTAAGCAGTTTTGGTGGAAAAGCTGATTCGGAATAGCCTGTGTATATGTTTGTCTTGTTGGTTGTTGAATAAAGCACTGTTGGCCAACAGGGAGGCAAGATAGGTGGGACTAGGAGTCAAGGAGGATTCTGGGAAATGTAGTAAAGAGAAGTCGCCATGTGATCCAGGCAGGAAGTGACATAGCAGGTCAGAATCAGTATATAAGCAGGGACAAGCAGGAGATAGCTCTCCTCTCTTCTCCTCTCCTCTCCTCCCCTTTCTTCTTTTCTTTTCTTTTCTTTTCTTTTCTTTTCTTCGGAGACACTAAGCAGACATGATGTAGATCCTAAGGGAGTAAGAGGCCCGGACCTTATCTCCGGTAAGATAAGGCCATGTGGAAATACTTACATTATTAAAAATGGGTTAACAATTAAGACTGAAGCCGGGCGTTGGTGGTGCACACCTTTAATCCCAGCACTTGGGAGGCAGAGGTAGGCAGATCTCTGTGAGTTTGAAGCTAGCCCTGGTCTATAGAGTGAGTTCCAGGACAGGCAGGGTCATTACATAAAGAAACCCTGTCTCAAAAAGTATGCTTTAACAATCTTTTAAAAATAGTTTTCCAGATTTGCATATATCACCCCAGGCAGTGGTGGGACATGTCTTTAATCCCAGCACTCAGGAGGCAGAGGCAGGCGGATCTTTGTACGGTCAAGACCAGCCTGGTCTACAAGAGCTAGTTCCAGGACAGCCTCCAAAGCCACAGAGAAACACTGTCTCGAAAAAACAAACAAACAAAAAATTTGCATAAGTGTGGTCAAGACCCACAGAGTACCACACAGAATATTTGTTTTGATGAGTTCTTTTTTTTTTTTTTTTTTTTTGGTTTTTCGAGACAGGGTTTCTCTGTGGCTTTGGAGGCTGTCCTGGAACTCACTTTGTAGACCAGGCTAGCCTCGAACTCACAGAGATCCACCTGCCTCTGCCTCCCAAGTGCTGGAATTAAAGGGGTGCGCCACCAACGCCCAGCTTGATGAGTTCTTTCTAGATCTGAGTCTAATCGTTCCTCTAGAATTTCATGATGTAATGTGAAGTAGCAGCTGTGGGTCCTGAGGAGAACTGTCACTCCCCAAGGAAGCAACTCTTTCGAGAGAGGTCAATTCCTGCGCACCTTCAGCCACTCCACCCTCGGACCCTCCATCCCCTGCAGACACCTCCCTCCATCCCCTGCAGACACCTCCCTCCATCCCCCTTACTTTTACCCTCCGCTGCACACACCCAATCCAGGGCAACCTTGTTCCCTCTGTGTGAGGTGTCAGGAAGGGATGACTCCACCCAGGTCCACGTGCCCTTCACACTGGTGGAAATGGACTTGAATAGAACAAAATCTTATGTTGTTCTCTGAAAACTTACTCCATTTAGAAAAAAGGAAAAAAGTTCACCCAGATTACTTAAATCTATGGCCTCACCTAGCATGATTATATATAAGTGTGTGTGTGTGTGTATGTGTGCGCGCGCGTGCGTGTATCTCCAGACTGGCCAATCAATGGGATTAAAAGTATGTGCCGAGCCGGGCGTTGGTGGCGCACGCCTTTAATTCCAGTACTTGGGAGGCAGAGGCAGGCGGATCTCTGTGAGTTCGAGGCCAGCCTGGTCTACAAGAGCTAGTTACAGGACAGTCTCCAAAGCCACAGAGAAACCCTGTCTCGAAAAACCAAAACCAAAACCAAAAAAAAAAAAGTATGTGCCGCCACACCTGGCTATGATATATATTATATTCCAACCTCTACCATTTCCCAAGAAGAAAATGACTGTGTATGGAAGGCAACTGGGGACCATGCTGATAAACTCCATTAACAAAATGACGCCTTTCCCTAAGGAGTGGAGGTAGTCCCTTTAAGGGACCCAATTAGGAATTACCAGTACACCGGCTCTTTTAATGGTAACTTATTTAGCTGAGGGCAAGGACAAAATGCCAGCTCCGGTGTTAACTTTGACAAACGGAAAGAGGTCACTCAGGCCCTAGTGATAGCCTGCCCTTTTCTCCCCTGCAGCCCCTAGGGCGATAACGAAGTATACCATCACGGACGATACCTCCACTGAGGGAACTTAGTTACTCTATGTTCATTTCCTGGGTCAGAGCACCCTGTACATTAGAAACAAGCTCCAAAGACTACAAAAGGGGCTCCTGGTTTCTCAGAATGAACTTCGGGATGTGGCCTTTCAAGTTCTTAACTACAGAGAGGAGGAGGACAAGATGGTAAAGGAAAGAGACAGCAGATGATAGTGGGAACACCAGGCCAGCTTCCATTCCAGGGCAGGGCATTTCTGACTCTCGGGAAAACCAGCCCAGTTGTCATCCACTGTCTTGGGATGGAGGCATCAGGCTCCAACCCTCAATCCTTGCTTTCAATACAATCAAACTGGCCATTGGGCTATGGGGTGTCCCAATCCCTGGTTATTCTCCAAGGCTTGTTCTGAAAGACCCCTACCCAGGCCCCCCCCCCCCCAGGAAAAAGAAAAACAAAGCCAAGCCATTGCCTAGTGGAAAAACCCAGACAGGTGTCTCACCCTCAAAACAGGATGTCTCTAATCACTATAGCAATCATAGGACCCGGATACCAATTGCTGAAGCGTGCCGGGGTCTTTCATGTAGGAAACCTAGTCCTTGGCAACTACCCCTGCCCCCCCCCAGATGATCTCAGCCCATGCCTAAGTAGCCAATGAAATACCTGTTGCTATGCTGATACTTATGTAACCATTAAAACTCCATAAATAGTGTACTCCCCACAAGCCCGGTATGCTCTGCACCCGAGTTGCAGTAGCATCCGCAGGCGCCTGTGTACCCAATAAATCGCCTCTTGCATTTGCAGCCAGTGGTCTGGTCCCGTCCTTGGGCAGAGGAGTCGGTCCGGTGCCCGGCGCTTTGATGCCGAGGTCTTACATTGGAGGTTCCCACCGAGATATCTGCCCCAGGACCGCCAGTGCCACCGGGAGGTAAGCTAGCCGCCGGCACCCAATCCGCTTTGTGCTTTGTTATGTATATGTATGTTGATCTGTCTCCGCGCAGCGTTTGAAAGGTAGGCTACGTAGCCAGTCAGTAATCAGAGGCGGCTTGAGAAGGAGCTGACGAGCTCAAGACTTCTCCCCCGCCACCCTGGCAGACGTGCCAGGGATCTGGGAGCTCAGTTGTTTAAAGCTCACTACGTATCCAACGGATACGTTGGCCCGTCTGAATATTTACTTTCGGTGCTCTACCGAAAGCGCGCAGCGTGTCTGGTCGTGAGTTGCTTAATTGTGTCATTTGTCTTGTTTGTCTGCTTGTCTTTGTGTTTTTAGTTTTCTGTTTCAAGCATGGGACAAACCATAACCACCCCTCTGAGCCTTACTTTAGATCATTGGAATGAAGTGCAGACCGGCGCCTCTAACCAGTCAATGAACATCAAAAAGAGAAAATGGCAATTTTACTGCACATCTGAATGGCCAACTTTTGATGTGGGCTGGCCACGGGATGGGACTTTTAACCTAGAAATTATCTTACAGGTTAAGGATCGGGTCTTCGATAAGGAACCCCATGGACACTTGGACCAAATAGCATACATTGTTGTTTGGGAAAATTTGGCTACAGACCCTCCGACATGGGCAGCCCCGTTTGTGACTCTCCAACTTCCTCCAAAGGCGGTCTCGGAGAAACCATCGGCTCCTCCCCTCCCCCCTTCTTCACTCTTGGTCCCTGTCCCGGCTCCAGACCATCACCTCTATCCTGTTCTAGAGAAGAACTCCCCCTCTAAACCCCCTAAGTCTAAACCTGTACTACCCCCAGATGACTCGGTTCTCATAGACTTGCTTACAGAAGAACCACCACCATATCAGCCAGCTCCACCCCTTCCCGCCCGAGCTGCTTGGGATAAGGAGGAAGGAGAAAGACCGGATAGCACAACCCCCACACTGGCCGAGGAGGAATCAGACTCCCCAGTAGCTGGGAGGCTGAGAGGGAAAAGGGAACCCACCCAGTCAGGGGGAACCTCTAGAGCTTTCCCCTTGCGCCAAACGGGGGGCCCAGGGAACCAATACCAGTATTGGCCTTTTTCTGCCTTTGACTTGTACAATTGGAGATCTCATAACCCCTCTTTTTCCAAGGATCCGATGGTTCTCACAAACCTGATTGAATCGATCCTTATAACACACCAGCCCACATGGGACGATTGTCAGCAGCTTTTACAGGCACTCTTAACTTCAGAAGAAAAACAAAGAGTGTTCCTGGAAGCCAGGAAAAACGTCCCGGGCGATGATGGGCGACCCACTCAACTCCCCAACGAAATCGATGCTGCTTTTCCCTTAACTCGCCCTGAATGGGATTTCAACACAGCTGAAGGTAGGGGACACCTACGTCTTTACCGCCAGTTATTAATAATGGGTCTTCATGGCGCTGGACGCCGACCTACCAATTTGGCTCAGGTAAGACAGGTTAGTCAGGGAATGGAGGAGACTCCTACTGCCTTTCTGGAGCGTCTGAAAGAGGCCTACCGGATGTACACCCCCCTTCGACCCTGAAAGTGATGCACAAAGGGGCAATGCACTGATGGCCTTCATATGGCAATCGGCACCAGATATCCGCAATAAGTTGCAGAGACTAGACAATCTGCAAGATTATACCTTGCCTGATTTATTGAAAGAGGCAGAGAAGGTTTTCAACAAAAGAGAAACTCCTGAAGAGAAGGAAGAAAGACTTAGAAAATTACAGGAGGAAAGAGTGGAAAGACTAAAAAAGGAATTAGAGAATAGAGAAAAAGAAAAAGATCGAAAACGCCATAGGGAACTTAGTAAACTCTTGGCCACCGTAGTACAGAATAACACAGGCACAGGGAGACAGGAAAGGAAGGGAGATATAAGGAGGCCCCGGGTGGATCGAGACCAATGTGCCTACTGCAAAGAAAAGGGTCATTGGATCAGAGACTGCCCAAATCGACCAAGGGGGCCAAAAAGAAGGCCTAACCAACAAGCCCAGTTACTAGCCCTCGGTGAAGACTGAGGAAGTCAGGGCCAGCTGCTCCCCCCTGAGCCCCGGATAACTTTACAAGTTGGGGAGCAACGCATCACCTTTCTAGTGGACACTGGAGCTCAACACTCAGTGCTCACTAGTACCCAAGGACCCCGGAGCAGCCGAACTGCCCGGGTACAAGGAGCTACCGGAGAAAAGCAGTATCACTGGACCACAGAAAGGAAAGTTCACCTGGCCTCAGGTAAAGTCTCCCACTCCTTTCTACATGTTCCTGATTGCCCCTATCCGCTCCTGGGGAGAGACTTATTGACCAAGCCAAGAGCCCAAATACATTTCGAAGGATCAAGGGCCACCATATCAGGCCCTAACGGGACCCCCCTCCAGGTCCTCACCCTACAATTGGAGGACGAGTACCGACTTTTCGATCCACCACTCAAACCAACTGAAAATCTAGAGTACTGGATCAAAAGGTATCCCTTGGCCTGGGCAGAGACTGGGGGGGATGGGGCTAGCAAGGCGCCAACCAACCCTCGTTATAAACCTAAAAGTGACAGCAACCCCAGTCTCCATAAAGCAGTATCCCATGACCAAGGAGGCCTATGAAGGGATAAAGCCACACATAAAAAGACTCTTGGACCAGGGGATATTAACCCCCTGCCGTTCCCCTTGGAACACTCCCCTCCTTCCTGTCAAGAAACCAGGAACAGGGGATCACCGCCCAGTCCAAGACCTCAGAGAGGTTAATAAAAGGGTGGAAGACATCCACCCCACAATGCCTAATCCTTACAACCTGCTGAGCACTTTGCCTCCAACACATCAATGGTATACTGTCCTTGACCTGAAGGACGCATTTTTTTGTCTAAGGCTCAGTGCGCAAAGTCAGCCCTTGTTTGCATTTGAATGGAAAGACCCTACATTAGGAGTATCAGGGCAATTAACCTGGACCCGATTGCCACAAGGGTTCAAAAATAGCCCCACCCTCTTCGATGAGGCCCTCCACCACGACTTGGCAGATTTTCGCATCAGACATCCGTCATTGATCCTGCTCCAATATGTGGACGATATTCTGTTGGCTGCCACCAACGAGGAGAACTGTCATGCAGGTACCGAGGCCCTCCTATTGACCCTGGGGCAGTTGGGATACCGGGCTTCCGCAAAGAAAGCCCAGATCTGTCGGGAAAAAGTCACTTATTTGGGGTATGAACTTCAAAACGGTCAGAGATGGCTAACCACCGCACGCAAGGAGACCATATCCCGCATCCCAACACCCCAAAGCTCCCGCCAGTTGCGGGAGTTTCTGGGGACAGCCGGGTTTTGCCGGCTATGGATTCCGGGGTTCGCTGAAATGGCAGCACCCCTTTACAAGCTAACTAAATCAGACACCCCCTTCGTTTGGGCGGAGGAACACCAACAGGCCTTTGATGACATTAAACAAGCTTTGCTTTCCTCCCCGGCCCTGGGCCTGCCTGACGTAACTAAGCCCTTTGAACTCTATGCCAATGAGAGGCAGGGCTTTGCTAAAGGAGTTTTGACGCAAAGACTCGGACCCTGGAGGCGCCCTATTGCATACTTATCAAAAAAGCTGGACCCAGTTGCAGCAGGGTGGCCTCCATGCCTAAGGATGGTAGCCGCTATTGCTGTTCTCACCAAAGATGCCTCTAAATTAACCTTGGGACAGCCATTAACTATCATGGCACCGCATGCCATTGAGTCTCTGGTCCACCAGCCTCCCGACCGCTGGCTGTCCAACGCTCGACTAACCCACTACCAGTCCCTGCTCCTGGATGCTGACAGGATTCAGTTTGGGCCAGCTGTCACCCTTAACTCGGCGACCCTGCTGCCCTTGCCAGTAGGGCCCACATCCCACGACTGCCAACAGATCCTTGCGGAAACTCACGGAACTCGGCCTGATCTGACCGATCAGCCGCTTAAGGATGCAGACTTCACCTGGTACACGGATGGCAGCAGCTATCTACTGAATGGAGAGCGGCGGGCAGGGGCAGCAGTAGCGGACGCCACCCAGGTAATCTGGGCCAGCGCACTTCCAGCTGGCACCTCCGCTCAACGTGCGGAATTGATTGCCCTAACCCAAGCACTCCAGATGGCAGCAGGTAAGAAACTCAATGTTTACACTGATAGCCGGTATGCCTTTGCTACAGCCCACATACATGGGGAAATATACAAGAGGAGAGGACTTTTAACTTCAGAAGGCAAAGAGATCAAGAATAAAAATGAAATTTTAGCCCTTTTAAAAGCATTATTTCTCCCAAAGAAATTAAGCATAATACACTGTCCAGGGCATCAAAAAGGGGACAGCCCTGAGGCCATAGGAAATCGCCGAGCCGATGAGGCAGCTAAGCAGGCAGCGCTGGGACCTCAACTGTTAACTGTCGCTGTGCCAACTGGCAAATCAATCCCTGTCTGGGAGTATACGGACGAGGACCTGGACCTCGTCCAGAGATTAGGAGCTGACTATGACTCAGTCCGCAATTGCTGGACCCACCAAGGAGAGACTGTAATACCCATAAAGGCAGCTAAAGAGTTAATTGAGCGCCTTCATAAGTTAACCCATTTGAGCAAGCAAAAGATGAAAACCCTATTAGAGCGGGGAACCATGAGCTTACACCTGCCACGGAGAGACATGCTGCTGCAACAAGTAACTGAAAATTGCAGGGTTTGTGCGCAGATCAATTCAGGGAATACCAAAATTGGTCAGGGAAAGCGCCTCCGAGGTCATCGCCCTGGGAATCATTGGGAGGTAGATTTTACGGAAATCAAGCCTGGGATGTATGGTTACAGATACCTACTAGTCTTTGTAGATACTTTCTCCGGATGGGTGGAGGCCTTCCCCACCAAACAAGAAACCGCGAAAATGGTCACCAAGAAGCTTCTGGAAGAAATCTTCCCCAGATACGGGATGCCACAGGTATTAGGGTCGGATAACGGGCCTGCCTTTGTCTCCCAGGTGAGTCAGTTGGTGGCTAAGCTCTTGGGAATTGATTGGAAATTACATTGTGCTTACAGACCCCAAAGTTCAGGACAGGTAGAAAGAATGAATAGAACAATTAAGGAAGTTTTAACCAAATTATCACTTGAAACTGGCTCTAAAGACTGGGTACAACTCCTGCCTCTAGCCTTATACCGGGCCAGAAACACACCTGGCCCACATGGTTTGACCCCATTTAAAATTTTATATGGGGCTCCACCCCCTGCCATCACCTTCTTTGATACTGATATTTCTGATTTTGCCACTTCCCCTTCCATGCAGGCCCATCTACAGGCCCTGCAATTGGTGCAACAGGAGGTCTGGAAGCCAATAGCAGCGGCCTACCAGAAAGGGATAGAATCTCTCTCCGTACCTCATCCCTTTAAAATCGGTGACACCGTCTGGGTCCAGAGACACCAGATCAAGAACCTAGAACCTCGCTGGAAAGGACCCTATACTGTACTTCTGACTACCCCCACTACTTTGAAGGTAGACGGCATCGCTGCCTGGATTCACGCCTCACATGTCAAGGCCGCCCGACCAGAGCACTGCACCGATACGCCAGCCCAAAGAAATCCAGAGTCATGGAGGCTCCAACGCTCTCAAAACCCTTTAAAGATAAGATTAATATGCCAATAATATGCTTGATTTTATTACTGCTAGCTGGTGATACACTAGAGAGCCCCCATGCCATATATAAAATAACTTGGAAGGTTATCAATCAGGACACCGGGGCAGTCGCTAACTCCACTACCATGCGGGGTGTTATAAATGCAACCTTTCCCCCTTTACATGTAGATCTTTGCGACCTAGTGGGTAAGCGATGGGATCACTCAGAACAAGCACTCTTCCCCGGCTATGGCTGTCAACACACGGGCCAGCGCATATCCACACGCAAACTTGACATATATGTTTGCCCAGGACATAACCGTGATAAAGAGCTCCAACATAGATGTGGTGGACCGGGAGATGGGTATTGCGCTGAATGGGGATGTGAGACCACCGGGACCACCTATTGGAAACCCACTTCTTCCTGGGACTTAATCACCCTCCAACGAGGAACTATCCCGGGGTATAATGGAGATGGTCCCTGGACTTGTGGGGGGCAGGATTGTGGACCATGCCATGATTCAAGTTCCAAACTCCAGGGTAGCACCCCTGGAGGAAGATGCAACCCCCTAATTATCACTTTTACTGAGGCTGCTAAACGGTCAGCATGGGATGCCCCCAAGGCCTGGGGGCTACGGCTGTAGGCTGTATCGTACTGGAATGGACCCCTCAGCCACCTTCCTAATCTCCAGAACCATTTCCCCCACAGCTGTGGCCTCTATTGGGCCAAACTCTGTGCTACTTGACCAACCAGATAGGCCATCCCAGAACCTCCCTAGACCCAAGCCAAACCCCTTGCCATCTGTCACCACCCTACCTACCCATGCTACTGGGCATAGTAATGACACTCTACCCCCTAGACCAAAGTTCAGTTCTGCCAGTAGACTATTGAACTTAATCAGAGGAGCCCACCAAGCGTTAAACGAAACCCATCCTGATAAGGCGGAGGATTGTTGGCTCTGCTTGACAGCGGCTCCCCCTTATTATGAGGGCTTGGCATTGGACTCTGACCTTATCAGCTATACATCTCCCCCTTCCCGATGCAGCGAAACACTTAATCACAAACTAACTCTGCCCCAGGTGACTGGGCGAGGACTATGTCTTGGAAATGTTCCCAGATAGTCTCAAAAACTATGTAACCGTACAGTCTCAGTAACTCCCAGCAACTCATACCTGACCGGCCCTAACGGGACTTATTGGGCCTGCAATACGGGACTAACTCCTTGCGTCTCAGTATTGGTTCTTAACATCACAGCTGATTATTGTGTACTCATCCAGCTATGGCCCCACATTACCTACCACTCCTCAGAGACTGTGCTAGGATACTTTGAGAATCGTTATCGATTCAGAAGGGAACCTGTTTCAGTAACATTAGCTCTTCTCCTGGGAGTGGGGGGGATAGCGGCTGGTATAGGGACCGGGACCACTGCCTTACTTCGGAGCAATCAAAATACACAGCTCCAGGCAGCCATGAATGAGGATCTACAAGCCTTAGAAAAATCAGTTAGAGCCCTTAAGGACTCTTTGAGTTCATTATCTGAATTGGTCCTACAGAATAGGAGAGGACTAGACCTCCTATTTCTTAGACAAGGAGGCTTATGTGCCGCCCTCAAAGAAGAATGTTGTTTCTACGCAGACAAAACTGGGGTAGTAACTGAAACTTTGGATAAACTCAAGGAGAGGCTGACTGTCCGTCGAAAGAATTCTGAATCTCAACAATACTGGTATGAGGGTTGGTTTAACAAATCCCCCTGGTTCGCTACATTAGTTTCTACTCTTATGGGCCCCCTAATTATTTTCATATTTGTGTTAACCTTTGGGCCCTGCATTCTCAATAAACTAGTTCAATTTATAAAAGATAGATTAACAATAATTCAAGCCTTAGTCTTAACTCAACAATACCATGCCCTCAAACAGACGGAACCATAAGTAAACCTTAAGTAAAGAGGGCTGGACAATAGGTAAAAGATTCTACCTATGCACAAGAACAAGGGGGGAATGAAAGACCCCTACTCAGGGCCCCCCTAGGAAAAAGAAAAACAAAGCCAAGCCATTGCCTAGTGGAAAAACCCAGACAGGTGTCTCACCCTCAAAACAGGATGTCTCTAATCACTATAGCAATCATAGGACCCGGATAATAATTGCTGAAGCGTGCTGGGAACTTTCATATGACAATACTAGAAAACCTAGTCCTTGGCAACTACCCTGGCCCCCAATTGTGTCTGATCACTGTAGCAATCATAGGACCCGGATACTAATTGCTGAAGCGTGCCGGGGTCTTTCATGTAGGAAACCTAGTCCTTGGCAACTACCCCTGCCCCCCCCAGATGATCTCAGCCCATGCCTAAGTAGCCAATGAAATACCTGTTGCTATGCTGATACTTATGTAACCATTAAAACTCCATAAATAGTGTACTCCCCACAAGCCCGGTATGCTCTGCACCCGAGTTGCAGTAGCATCCGCAGGCGCCTGTGTACCCAATAAATCGCTGTCGCGTCTGCTGCGCGGCCTGTGTCCGAGAACGTGCGGAGGGTGTCGGGGATTGACAACACAGAGACTTGTTCAACGATGTAAAGAAAACTTTAAGCAGGCCCCAAAAAGGTTCAAGAAAACTTCCTAAGAAAGGCTCCCACCAGAGAAGCTTCTGCTCTCTCCTCTACCCTGGCTGGTTCTGCTCTGACCCCAGAAACTGATCTGGGCGTGGCAGAAGAGGTGGTTAGTCTTTGGACAAGGTCGAGGTCAGGGTGGTTTCTGTGGGCAGGCCTTTTCCAGGAACTTAATGCCCCCAGGCATTGTATTGTTTTTAGTAAACATTGTCTTACAGCTGCCTACTCCCAGGCAGAAGGGGAAGTGGGTCTCTGCTCAAGGTCTGGTGTTCCCACAAATCACCTCTTGCATTTGCATCCAGTGGTCTGGTCCCGTCCTTGGGCAGAGGATTCGGTCCGGTGCCCGGCGCTTTGATGCCGAGGTCTTACAGTTCCAGCTGAGGACCATGGGCCACTGGAAGGCTGATTGCTGGGTTGTACCAGTGCCCCACCCTCTGACCTCCAATGACATTCGTCGTCCCATGCTTTGGTCCCTGAGTTCTGGGCCCCTGACAGAGTCCACCCTGGCTCATCAGGGAATGATTTAAGTGCTGTTTGTTACTATTCAGGCACCTGCTCTGGCTTGCCCTTGGGGACCTGGCAGGATATGAGCTTGGGCTTGCCATACTGAGTCAGTATTCTGGCCTACTCAGGGTCTTGACTAGTTGGTCTCTGTGCACATGTGCTATGCCCCCTTTAAATGGTGGGCCCCACCTGCCTCCTTCCCCCACCCCCCTTTGTCTGCCTCTCCTCTGTCTGTCTGTGTGTCTCTCTCCCTCTCCCCTACCACTCCCATCTCTAGAGGCTGGTCTCCTGTCTTCCCTCCACCCTTTCCCATTACCTTCCCCCAATTAAAAAAAAAAACCCTCCATCGGAGCCCTGTCCAATGATAGCATCTCTCTCTCTTCTGCTGTTTTTTTTTTTTAAATTATAACACTGTTTAATGGGTCATACTAGTAAGTCCCATGGAAGACAGAGGTTCTGAGGGTGATTTGAACTGTGGGGGCCTGACTTAAGAGGTTTCAGAGGGCAAGAATGTTAGAATGTTGCCTATAAATTGTTCTTGTGATAGTTGGGTGAAGAATATGGTTGCTTTTTGCTCTTGTCCAAGAAGTTTGCCTTAGGCTAAATTGAAGAGTTTTGGATTAATTTCATTGGCAGAGGAAATATCAAAACTGCCTAAAACTAATTCTGTTGTATAGTTATTACTGGTCACTCTGATGAAGTTCTATAATGAAAAGGAGCAAGCTGAGCAAGGAAAAAATATTTGAGGGGAAAAGGAGTACCAGGAAGTGGAATGGAGCTAAGCCCTGTGTTCAGGGAGATAAACAGATTAAACAATGGAATAAAGGGAGTGGTGACTTCAGGGCAAGATCCTACCCAGCTAAATTTCCAATTTGAGTAAAGAAAAACTCAGTCAGGTGTGGTGGTGCACACCTTTAATCCTGGCGTTCAAAAGCAGAGCCAGGTGGATTTCTGAGTTTGATGCCAACCTGGTCTACAGAGCGAGTTCTAGGACAGTCAAGCTTAGACAGAGAAGGAAACCATCAAAACCAGAAAACTGATTAAGATGCAGTTGAACAAGGGGCTATGTCCAGTCCCAGCAAGCAGCAGAACTTGGCAGTTTTGGCCCCGTGGTTCTGACTTTAGAGTCAAGGATAGAAGAAAGGGGCTTTGAGCTGGGTGGTGGCGCACGCCTTTAGTCCCAGCACTCGGGAGGCAGAGGCAGGTGGATCTCTGTGAGTTCGAGGCCAGGCTGGACCGACAGCCTCCAAAACAATACAGAGAAACCCTGTCTCGTAAAACCAAAAAAAAAAAAAAAAAAAAAAAAAAAAAAAGAAGAAGGGGTTTTGAAATCTCCCTCCATGACTAAGAAAAGATGCCGAGGCCAGGTGTTGTTTCAGGGGTGTCCCTGCATGGAGGCCTAGAGAAGCCATTGTGTGAAGCTGTGAAGGTGAAGCCTGGGTTGCCTTGAAGACCCCAAGATGTTGGAGATGCCAGAGCCAGGGGGTATGTGTCAGAGAAAGATACTACCAGGCAGTGGAACTAGCCCAAGAGAAAGAGGTGCATTGCAGTCAACAAAGCTGAGAGGAATTGGAGATCTGAAGTGTGTTTTGACATCAGAAATGGAGATGCAGAGTTTGGAGTTTGCCCAGCTGGTTTTCAGTCTTGCTTTGGTCCAATATTTCCTCATTGTACTTCATTTTCTCCCTTTTGGATTGGTAATATGTCTTGTGCCATTGTATGTTGGAATTATGTGATCTCCTTTTTGATTTTACAGGGGATTATAGCTAAGAGATTATATGAACCTCAGAAGAGACTTTGAACTTTGGAAGGTTTTTGTTATTGTTTTTGTTTTTTGAATCAGAGTTTCTCTGGGTAGTCTTGGTTGTCCTGGAACTTGCTTTGTGCTGCGCCCACTGCACAGCCTGTATCTGAGAAAGTGCGGAGGGTGTCAGGATTGATGACACAGAGACCAGTCGACGATGTAAAGAAAACTTTAAGTAGGCCCCAAGAAGGCTCAAGAAAACTTCCCAAGAAAGGCTTCCCTCAATAAAAGCTTCAGCTCCCTCTCTTACCCCTGGCTGGTTCTGCCCTGACACCAGAGACTGTGGTGGGTGGGTCAGGAAGAGGCGGTTAGTCTTTGGAAAGGTCGAGGTCAGGGCGTCCATGGGCGAGCCCCTTTCAGGAACTTATTACTCCAGTAAACATTTCTTAGGGCACTGGATTGTTTTCAGTAAACATGTTTTTAGTAAACATTGTCTTACAGCTGCCTGCCCCCAGGCTGATGGGGCAGTGGGTCTCCGGCAAAGGTCTGTTGTCCCCACAGCTCTGTAGACCAGGCTGGGTTTGAACTAACAGACATCTGCCTAGCTCTTCCTCTGGAGTGCTGAGATCAAAAATGTGTGCCGCCACCACCTGGCCGAACTTTGGAGTTTTAAGCAGTGTTGAGACTGTGACAGACCATTTGAAGTAGGACTGAATGCATTTTTGCATTATGATATAGCTATGAGCCTGTGGGGAGCAGGGATAGAACACAGCAATAGAACCCTGACTAAGATAGATAAACAAATTGTACCCACTTGGCTTCCAAACCAAGCACCACATGGGTGCTATGCATGTCAGGATGGCACTTAGAATTGCCTCCCTGGAGGGGAATGTGCCACGGCCTTCCTCATTCCAGACGTAGATTGCCTCCTGGGTCAGGTAGTCTGTCAATGCCTTGTCCATCATCGCAGGAGAAGGAAAGCCCTATTCTCCTCCCCATCCTCCTGGGAAGTGCCCCAGCAGTTGGCAACCACTACTGATGCAACAAAGATACGAAACCAACAGGTATAAAACAGCCAACTGATCAACCAGGTAGAGCTGATCCTGGTATAACAACACAGCATAGTCTCCCTACAAAACTAGATAGATTCTTGGACTACAGTGACCTTCCAACACCACAGAGGACTCAAATTAATGACTGCCAAAAATCGAGGAAGACTGCTGTTTATATGAAAACCAGTCCAGCCTACTATGGGAAAATGCAAAACAATTTTTAGAAAGAAAAACAAATGTATACAATGTTTTCTGGAAGGATACTTGGGCTGCTTGGGGCCAGTGGACTGCCCCCTTGGCAGGCTCCATCATTATGACTGTACTAACTTTACTCTCTAGTTCCTGCCCTTTCACCAGCCTCACTAAGTTCCTTCCAACAAAGACTACAATCTTTCTCTGCCCGGAGGTTTCATTGTATTCTTCATGGCTGAAATCTACCAGACCATATCCAACCTGGAAGCCTGCTCCGTGTGCCCTTCCATCTTCGATTTTGTTTTTTGTTTTTCGAGACAGGGTTTCTCTGTATTGTTTTGGAGGCTGTCCTGGAGCTCACTCAGGCTGACCTTGAACTCACAGAGATCAGCCTGCCTCTGCCTCTCATGTGCTTGGATTAAAGGCATGAGCCACCACCACCTGGTGAAACTCTTCTTTTCAACACATTCTCTTCCTTCTTTCCTTTGCCCTTTGTGTGTATGTGTGTGTGTGGATTTTGTATGTGTATATGTGTGTATGTGTGTGTATCCTGCTGCATTTAACTAGGATTGCTTGCATGAGCATGGATGGAGGGTTGTTTATCCAAACGAGCACTTAAATACCTCTTTCCCCCCAGCAACCCTTAACTGCCTATAGCTCTTCAGGGATGAGGAGCGGTTAATGAAGCGTCATTTCCTTCCGTGAGGACATATTGATGGGGCCAGTCTTATGCAGGTCCTACAGCCACACTGTGTCCA